AGCCAGTGACCACAATATCTACGGAAGATTGCCGAAGCCAAGTAATTTGGACCTTAGAGATAAACCTGAAATTATTCGAAGCAAGTGGTGGCATGATTGAGGAAGTGCTTTAGAAAGGTTATGCTGGCAGTGGAGGATAGAATCTGGGAGATGGAAGACTATTTAGAATGTTATTGGAGGGGTCCAGGTATGAAACGATAAGGGTCTAAACTTGTTTGAAAAATAATGGGAAAGTGATGGACAAGAGGGACATGGAAAGAAACAATTAATTCCCCCAGGGGAGAGATGTGGGATGAATCAAGGGAAGGGGAGGAGTCAGAACTCATGCCCATTTTTCTGGCATTGGTGACAGAGATGGAAGTCATCCCTATAAAACACGCAGGGGGTGCAGAAGGAAGAACTGCTTTGAGAAGGATGAGAATAAACTGGCTTTAGACTTGTTAGATGCGGGGGTGGTGATGATGGGATATTAAGTGAAAGTTTCTGCCAGGCATTTGAAGACATTGCACGGGAACTTGGGACAGTAGTCAAGGCCATATGTAGATACAGGGTTGGAATTCACCCAGAAGGAAGCCAAATTACACACGTCTAGGTGTGTCAGTTAGGGGGTCCTTGGTTACAAGCAACAGAAACTGAATCTGGCTAGATGTAGAAAAGGCTTGAAAGAGTCCTCTGTGGACCTCTATGCAGAATGGGCATGGACCATGGTGGTTCTGGGGTCCCAGATGGGAAAAATTCACAAAGAATCTCATCAAGCTGGGATGAGTCAGCTCCAATGTCTTTCCCCACTCCCTTCAGAATTCAGCATCCTGGGAGGGGATCCAGTTAGCTGGGTCATATGCTCACCCCTTGGCTAGAGGGGGGAAAGACACCGTGACATCCATTTCTGGCAGGGAGGCCCATAGAACAGGAGAGGTGGTTCTCCAAAGCAAACCAGATTCTGCGATCAAGACAGGGGAATAGATGCCTGCCAGGTGGCCACAAACTAATCAATGAGAGTGTGAGGAGGAGATAAAGCAGCAGGCAGGCATTGCACCCACATATGGAGGAGGATGATTTGATGAGCAAAAGATAAAGACTGGGTAAGGAACTGGAGGAGAGAGTAGACAAAGGAGTTTCAAAAACTGGGCAAGACACCAGAGTTAAATGCTGCTCAGAGCTCAAGGGTGGTAAAGAATGATGAAAACTGTCAGGGCTGGCATTGGAAGTTATTGGGTACAGAGCTCTGGGAGAGAGGAGGAGGGAGGGAGGGAGGGAGGGGATACAATCAGTGATGCAGGTAAGAAGGTAGGTCAGAGACCTGTGTGGAAGAGGGAGACAGCATCTGTTGTTTGGGTGTGAAAGGAAGGAGAGCTGGGTTGTTTAAAGGGGTCAGTATCACAATGACCCTCAGGGTTTCCCATTCTATTTGACCAAACAGTATAAGTAGAAAATAATATTAAGCCCAGCACTTAGTTACTGTCTTTTCTCTGAAGCGCTTGGTGAAAAGTAGTGACGAAAATGGGCAAGTGTGAATTGATGCTCTGGTTTAATGTTTTAGAAGTTACCGAAAGAGGAAATTGCATTTATTTGAAAGCCAACTTGAAAGGGAAATAAAAAGACAAATGACTTTTATAAGCTAAAAAAAAATCATAACAATGCAACCGCCCTAGATACTAATTGTATAAGTGAACTGTTATAACCAGTCTCCTTTCCCCTGGCTGAAACACTCTTACGTAACAGTGTTTGCATCTATGATGTTGTGTAACAAGTTGTCTTGTGGGGTAATGTGTTTTCCACCCGGGTTAGATAGGCGAGGAGCAGCTATTATCTTATTATCAAAACATCAGTCATTCTTCCAGACAATACACATCACCCTTTGGAAGCTAAGGATAGTTTTTACTTAAATACAAGGTCATACTGTTAGGGTGTATGGGGGAGCAGGGAGGTAGGGCAGGGGGATTTTCATCTTCTTCCAAAGCACTCAACACTGGACCTCTTCCAAGAGAGGAAACGAGACTAAATAGATCATTTGTTTTATTCTGTTTGGGCATTTCTTGCGTTTCTCCCAACTGCGGCTTATAGACACAAAGCCAAACTCAGAGACTGGCTGGAGCTGGCTAAACTCCAGGTCACTTTTTTTTTTTTTTTTCACTTTTTAAAGGAATAAACAATTTGAAGCTCTCTCCAAGGATTAAGACAAGCCACACAACACAAGGACAAAATGAAATTTTTCAGTGAAAGTAAAGTTGCAAAGGAAGAGGCAGGTAGGTGCGTTTGATGATTTGGTTTTCTCAAACAAGACCCAGGTAGAGAGGCGAGGCGCATGCCTGTTGAAAGTGCACATCTATGAGACATAGACTTCAAGGAGGGTCAAACACTTGATGAGCTGCTGCTCCTGAGCACCAGCTGAGCAGCCCCCTGATGATGGGTGTCAACGGGCCTGGTGACTTGAATGTCACTTGAAAGCTTGGGAGATTGCTTCTGTATCCTCTTACTGGCATCAGGAAGGCTGGCCAACACCATCCATGCACATTCTGTAATAAGCATAGTTGGTATTCCCGGCATATACCTCTGGCAGAAAGCGTCTTTGTCTTGAATCATTTCCCTTTGGGAGATGCTCATTGGCAGTCCCATCCAATGTCCAAGGAGAGAGAAAGGCACATTAGTGGTTGGGCTTTAGCATATTAGTTAACACTGCATCCTGTCTGATTTCAGAATTAACAAGTCATGCACAGTATTGCTCACAATGTTCCTTCAATAGTACTGGATAGGACAGGGAAGTGAATGACACTAAAATGTAAACAAAAGAGGTAAGTCCCAAAGACTTCTAATGGTCTTTTGTATGTGAAGAATCTGGAACCTAAATACACTCTAATTGGTAAAATAAAACATTTTTGTTCCCTAAAACAATGTTTGTTCCATTAGGACAAGAGACTGAAATCCTTTAAAATAATATTTGTGCATTTCTTTCAAAAACTTAGAGTAACTACTTTTTTTTTTAACTTTAGAGTAAGTTTACTAAAAATTTAAAATGGCAAATAATTATTAGCCAAAGTGTTTGTGATATGCATCAATGTGGCGATGTTAAAATCCTGATTGTGAAATTATACCATAGTTTAACAAAATGTTACCAATGGGGAAAGTTTACAAGGGACCTCTCTGTGAACCCACAGTTATCTCAATAAAAATTTTCAGTGAATACAAGATAGAAATGGATGTGGGGAATCAGGCACATTTTTATAACCTGGCTTCACCCATACTTCTTGGTTCTAGTGTGTTTCTCCACTAGTCCTGACTTCCATTTGGAAGAGACTCCTGCCAGCTTCTCAAACACACCTCCAGGCTTTTACTCCTCTCCTGCCCCATCCCGTTTATTCTTCCCAGATCCAGCTCACCCTCCTGACTCGATTATGCCATAGCACTGTCTCCGGAGCAGTACTTATCCTGTCAGTAGCCCCCAGGCATTTCTTTTCCCCAACCTCCAACAATCATTTACTGAGAAACTACTATTATCTGTAGCATCGGCTCTAGTCACTAGGGACTGGGTGAGTTGGAAACCATGTTGAACTGGTTTCTCTTCCCTGCTTTCTGGGAGCATATAGTATCACGAGGAAGGGTGGGAGAAAACTAGTGAAAACAAGTAAAAGAAAAGGAAAAATCAAAGCTTGGTGAGATCTATGAAGTAAGCAATAGGTTGTAGAAGGGGAAGGTGGTCAAGTGGTCAGGGAAGGTTTCCTAAGAAGGTGCCATTTGACTTGTGACCTGAAGTATAAGGAGGCAGTCATGAGAAGATCATGAGATAATGGGTGGAGGAGAGGGGTCGCATTTCAGGCCCAGGGAAATACAAGGAAAAAGGATTTACATCCTGCTCTGCAGTTGGATAGAAATATTAGGCATGGCTGTAAATAATGAGACAGGCTTTCTTTTTGTGAACGGTTTCCTTTTTTATTTAAGGGCCAACCACCCACAGCTCTAAGAGAGGCTAGCCCAGATTTTACACTTACAAGCGACTTCTCACCCTAACACATGCACACACCGTCTAGCATGGTCGCCCACGCGCCAGCTGCAGATTCCAAATTGCTCTGATCTGTGGATACAGCCTCAACTCAAGGTTGTGTTTTAGGAGATTTACCACATTTCTTTCTCACCGCTGGGGCCCTGGGCCTGCTGGTGAGGGTTCCGTACTGTCTAAGGGCAATGTAGATTATGTCATTAAGTTGGGTCCCCACAAACCTAAATTGACCCGAAGGAGGGCTGAACACTTGAGATCGGGGTAACCCAGCTGGGAGCCTGGCGGGATCTGTCGCGGGCCCCAAGGGTAGGCTCCTCGCTGTTGCGCACAAGGTCCGGTTCCCTCCACTGTAGTCAAGGGTCGGAAAGGCTGGATTCCTAGCACTCTGCGGGCTCCTCATGCTGTCACCGCAGCCAGGATCCAGTTTTCCGGATCCCTGGTCTGCCTCACGCCTAAGGCGACCGGCTGCCGCTCCTCTGTCTCCGTGGCCAAAGAAGTCGGCTCCGGGCACCTACGAAGCAACTCTAGGGGTGATTTGCCCCTTCCCGGCGGCGACCGGGCACTATTATCCCCATCACCCGAACCGACGGGCACTGTCCCAGGGCGCTCCCCTGTCTCTCCCAGGGGACAGCTAAGACGGCTCGCCCTGCGTCCCAGGGACGCGCCACGAGCCCGTGGGTCCCTCCTCCTCCCACCCACACCCGGATCGCCGCGACCCACGTGCAGCTCGGCGCGGGCGGGCGCCGCGTCTCCCGGCGCTTTCTGGGCGCAGTCCCGCGACTGGGACCCCTTGGGGGCGGTATCCGCGGGGCGGCGGCCAAAGTGGGGGCGTCCCGGAGTACGGGCGCGGGGACGCTGCGGCCCGCTGGCACACAAAGGAGGCGGCGGGAAGGCGGGGCGGGGCGGGGCGGGGTTGGCAGGAAGGGGCGGGGGCCGGGCGGGCGGGAGGCGATAAAGCCCCCGCCGCGGCGGCCACTGGCTAGCGCTCCGGGGTGCACTGGCTGCTCCCGCTACGCGAAGTGTGCAGACGCCGCCGCCGCTTCCCTCTCTGACCCTCCTCCGCGCCTCCGCCGCCACTCTCCGGCCTCCGATTCCCCGCCCGCCGCCACCGGCTTCGGCTCGCCAACTGGGATCCCGAGCGAGGGCCGGTGAGTGCGGGCTGCGCGCCCCGGCCGATCCTGGGCGCCTCGGGCCGGGGGTGGGGAGAGCAGCTGGCGCTGCCCCTGAGCTGGGGACAGTCCCTCCGCGGGCCGCCGGCTCCCTGCGGCGACCCTTCTCCGGGCCGGGGGGCTGCGGGGCGAGCGGGGCCCGGTGGCGGCGGCGTCGAGGCGGAGGAACTTTCTCAGCCGTCCTCAGGCAGCCGCGGCCAAGGCGGCGTGCGCGCCCCGGCCCCTGTGCCCGGGAACCGGGAAGGACCCGGCAGGGCGAGCAGCGTCCGCGCCTCCGGGGCGTCCAGGTGTGCCCGCGGCCGGGAGTCCTCCTGGGGGCGCGTGGTTTCTGCGGTCCATCCTAGCTGGCGCCCGTAACCCTGAACCCGAGGCACCCAGGTGCTCCCCTACCCGTGCTCTGTGTGTGCGCCGCGGTTCAGGGAAAGACAAACGGACCCTCACTTGTTGTTCTGCGCCTTCACAAGGTGGGGGTCACCAGAGGAGGGGGGGGGGCTTTAAATTGACCCCTGGCACCCGTTTTGACCCTATGCAGCAGGTCTCTGCTATTTTCATCTTTTGAACCAGTGGAAATTGCAGTGCTGATTAGTGACTACAGGTAAGGTGAAAGCACTCAGAAATTCTGGCTGAATTGGGTCTTTGCCTACAAACTGATTGGAGAGGGAAGGCTCCGATTACATAAGACAGCGTTCACTGTACCTCAGGTATTGTGGAAGATGCTGCTGAAGGTTTTAGTGTTTTAGTGAAAGAAAAATAATCTTCGTGCGTGTCTCTCTTGAGAAATCTCAAATGCTGCTGGCTTGCTTTAACTGTTTTGCAGAGAATATCCGTATATTTAGCATGGACATAAGGAGGTGTTTGAAGGTTTGACTTCCTCTTTCAAGCCAGGAAGCAATTTACTTCTCTGAACTGTTCAGGAACAATTTATGTGATAATTTTTTTTACTTTGGAGATTTCATATCAAAAGTTGCACATAAAGAAATGTAAGCGTTGCTAATTTGTCTATCTAAAGTGCACTTCCAAAATCAAAGATACTTTCCAGGCTATCTGCATATCTAAATCAGTAATTACATGCTGTTTGCAGCATTTCAGCAGAAAACTTTCTTCAGCTGTGTAAATGAAGGTGTTAGCCTAAATAATCTAAGGTTTCTTTCAACTCTTTAAGTTTTAATTCTCTATTAAAATAGTATTTGAAAATATTGTACGGTGCGGGGCAATTATTGGAGGGCAACAAGATGCCATCTATCTTTTATTCTTTAAAAAAAAAAATGAATCTATACAGAAAATGTGTCTCCGGTGAACTTCACGGGACAACCGTGACTCAGTCTCAAAGGACGTTCGATTTCAGTTTCAGACACTGGGGAGTGAATACCAGTCGGATTGAAGCAGCGGAGTTTGGAAAGTAGGTGGTGAGGTAGCCAGGTCCCAGCTACTCCTCCATGCGGCTTCCTCTGCCATTCAGTCGTTCTCCCGCAGCACCGCAGACTTTGGCTCCCGGGCTTCCTTTTCTCTCCTCTACTCCCAGGTCCATGTGAGGGATGCTCTTGATCCGGGAGGGTCTCAGATCCAGAGACCTCCACCCACTCTTGCAGGAGTGCTCTACATCCAAGGCTTGTCCTCGCCCAGAGATGCTCACCTTGTGAAATAAGAAACTTTAGCATCTTGTGAACCAACCTTCCAGGTTGCTAACTGACACTCCCATTGCAACTCTTCTTCTGCACAAGAGATCTCTTCTCTTCCTCCTCCTTCTGCATAAGAGATCCCTTCTCTTTCTCCTTCCTGTTTGGTGGGTGACTTTGTGGCCCACTCTTCCCAGTCAGTAGGGGTCACTGGATTAAAATCTCTCCACATCCTACCTCATTTCCCTCCTTCAGATTTTTCCAAATTTACCCAGTCCCCCGAGAAATATTTTTAAGCATCTACTCTGTCCAGGCATTCATGTATAGTAGATATAGAAGGCCCCTGCTCTATTTGAATTGTTCTTATGGGAGGAAAGAAAGAGCAAACCGCATTATGCTATGATAACATGTATGATGATAAAACATGGATAGGGTAGAATAGTAGAAAAAACTCAAGTTGGGGCAGGGAACCTGTGGCAGCGCCTAATGACTCCCTATGAACTCTTCATAGTATTTTCAAAATTCCATCATGTCCCTTCTCCCTACATCCTCACCTCATCTCCATCTACCACCGGGTCTGCCGGGGCTTCTTAAATGAGTTACTACTTTCCTGGTTGCCCCTTGCTTCTGAGCTCTCTGTCGGCTGGCGAGTCTTCTCAAAGTAGAAGACCCCACAATTCTTAAACAGGTCACCCTGACGACGCTCTTGAGACCTCTGTGGAATTAGATACGATCTTTTCTTCCTTCCCTAGTTGCATCTCCTGCTTTATCTTCCGCCTCCCTGGCATCTCCACTACCTCCTGGGGTGACCAAGTGCTCTCTTCTTACTCCTTTTCTGCTCTACGTCGTCTTTACCACGTGCCCACAGCTCCAACTATCATCAGGTACAAATGGAGTCCCAGATTGGTGTCTCCAGCTAGTTACCTATAGCCTGGTGGGCTTATCCATGCCCTGTAGGCAAAACACCTAGAATAAGTCCAGAACTGGTTTTAGTTCTCACCATCCACCCCAGACACATTTCATCCTTAGCCAAAATTTGCCTCCCCCACCACCTCTGGTGGCTCTGTCATTCACGAAGGTGCTAGAACAGGAACCTCATGGTGACGCGAGGCCCTCCCAGCACTCCCCACATCCAGACAGCTGCCAGTCGTACTGCTTCTCCGAGCTTTGCAGTCCTGGAAATCTCTCCTAGGTCATGCTGGGTGCCCTGCTTTAGAGTCCAGAAGCAGCAAAATGGTGGCCAGTGTGCCATCTCCAGCTGGCAGATGCATTGTTGGCCTGGACAAAGTATACAAACCTTGAGTTATATTTAGAAATATTTAGATGTCCCAGTGCTGGCTGGCTCAGTGGTTTGAGTGTTGGCCTGCGGACCAGAGTGTCCTGGGTTCCGTTCCCGCTAGGGGCACGTACCAAAAAAAAAAAAAAAAAAAAAGATGTCCCCTGGATTTACAGCTTCTCTTGAAAGTCAGATGATCTGGAGCATGAGGCTTACATTCCTATGTCCATGTGGCAACACTTGGCTGGCATGGAGTTTCCAGCACCCAGCTCTGCCGGAGTTGCTTCCTGGCCCCCCCCCCCCCCCCCCCCCGGGAACTATGGATCTCACTTACAGTAGCTTCCTGGCTCCCGCAGCTCCGAGCTGGGAGACCATTGGCTGGGAGCACAGCGTGTGATCCCTAGTGGCTCACCACCTGGTTTCCTGCCTCATTTCTCACACCTGGTTTTGCCCTTCTTACAACCGTGTACCATGTTACTGCTGGGATGACTTTCCTCCTGCCTCTCCATCCCAAATCTGCTGTGTCCCTCCTCCTAAAAGCCACATGCCTCCCTCTTGTCTTTGGGGCAAACCTGACCCTGAAGGAGTGGTCATGTTGTATCACAGGTCAGGTGCCTCAGATTGAAAGGTGGGCTCCCTGTCATCTTGCCATGGTGTTGTACTCAAGTTTCTGTAGGGAGAGTGGTTGATACAGAAATCGAGTGTTACCTCACCTGTGTCGAGATGCAGTCTCTGCTGTTTGCAAAGCATTTCCACAGATCTGTCCACCCTCCCGCTCTCTCACACTCTCCCTGGGAGGAAATGGGTGGATTCCACGTCCCAACAGCAGTGGGAGGCTGAATATGGAGGTACAGGCAGCCTTGGGCGCTCTCAGCCTTTAGAACATGGCAGGCCCGTGTAACACATGGTACCCGGAGTCAGACTGTATGTTCCCAAAGTCACTCAGTTGTCTTGGGACAGCCCTGCCCCAGAGCTCAGCACTCAGCCAGGGCACAGTGGCGCCACTGTCCCCCGCAGCGACGCCCCAGGCTGCAGGCCATTGGTGATGACCTGACAAGTCCAAGCTTTCTTCAGTTCCTTCCCGCCTCCCTGCCATGCTCCCTTCCCAAAACATTAATTTCTTGCAAAACGAACTTCCTGCAGACTCCTCGCAACCCCCTTGCCTTTGCCACTACTGAACTCCGCCTGGAATCCTTTTTCCACCTTCTGTCTTCACTGATTGTCTGGGTAACTTCCCTCTTTTTCAAGACCCGGGCCCAGTATCACCTATTCCTAATGTCATTCCTAAAAATCCCTACCGCCAGCAACCCCTCTGTGGCAGAGGTGTGGCGTGTGCACTCAGGCGTCCACCCTACCCGGTGATGCCTCCGACGACCATTACTGTGTCACAGCAACATGCTCTGCCCATCAAACCCGGCGCCAGGCACACGCGCCTGGGGACCAGGCTCGTTTGCACCCCGGTGGTGTATGGCCCACAGGCATTCAGTGGATTTCTGAACTAAACCATGTTCCTTTTTTGTTATACGTTTAGTACATATTTCATGAAAGAGTGCTTGCTTTTCAGGTTTGGAGGGGAGCTCTCCCCCCAGACCTTCACCCCTGGTTCTGGTACTTGTGCATTTACTTATGCAGGGTGAGGAAAAAGTAAGTTTACAGCTGTTTGTATGGAAACGGACATGCAGGTTGCAATTATTATAATAGTTTTATTAACTCTGTTTCACACACTCACAACTGTAAACCTACTTTTGCCCCACCCTGTAGATCTTCACATGAAAAGCAAAATATTTGATCAACCCTGTCTTCTGAGATTGAACATTACTTAGAAGAAAAGCAGAAGAGAAAAAGCAGAAGTCTAATACAGAGTGCTTCTGTGTCTGTCTTCAGTTGTCCTCAGCTGAACTTTCTTTGGCTTGGTCCTGTCTTCCGTGAGGTCCATTGGCTGGGCTGTGCTCTGTATTTCATGATTTGTACAAGTTTGGAGAATGCTTCTGCTCTATTTCCATTAACGGTCTCAAGGATGGTGATGCATGCCCTCTTGCTGACTTTTTTCCCCCATAGTAGTTTTTTGGTTAATGTGTTCAGCTAAG